AAAAAAAAAAAAAAAGAAATTTCTTAGTGCCTTTACTCAAGACTTGATAATGTCAATTTCTAGGCAAAATAATAGTCGTTTTTATTTCCTTTAGGAAAAACTAGATGAATGAGTATTTCTGATTCAGATACATATGTATATATGTGTGTATATATATGTGTGTGTATATATATATACACACACATACACACAAGCAGACATATATGTTTATCTTTTTAAATTTTATTTTTAAGTCTGAAAGGATACATTGGGTCAAAAGTGGTCACTCTGAGGAGTCGTAAGACGGTAAGTGTTGGAAATAAAATGACACCCTTTTTACCCATACATATTTTTGTATTATTGTTTTCAAAGATGCATTATTTTTGTAATTTAAAAAGATAAAAGAAAAATAGGAAAACACTTAATAAATGCAGAATAAAAAGTTCTGCAATTACATACCTACCTAAATAGTGAAAGCATTCCCTTAGTTTAAAAACAGTATTTTAAAAATATTAACAGTGCAAAAAATATTGTACATGGATTTAATTTTCTAATGTTAACCAAGAACTACGCTTCATATATACAGTATTACAGAATAAATACTAAACTAAGCAATGTTATGAAAACCGTATTTCTATGGTTTGTATGTATAATTATATGTAAATTTACAGTTTTAACTTGACAAAGTCTAAGAATAATTAATGGCATGTTCTGTAATTTTAACAATATGTAATTTTTCAAAACAGTATTTCAGATTTTTAAATGAGAATTTGTCTCTTCTATAGAGTATCTAGAAGAGACCTTAAGATGTAAGAATTTAGTGGATTTTAATGGAAACTGTGATAAAAACGAAAACTAGGATGCATACATGGAAAAAAGTAAAGCAGGCATACTGAAAAAAATAAAAAGCCAAAACTTTCACTTACAGTTCATCCCATTTAATAAGATAGAAGAAATTCTTATAAGTGCCAACCTTCTTTGATTGAATAGGTTTAAAAAGATCCTTTCCATTGTGAGACAGGGAACATATCAAGTAGTATTTTTCATAACTGAGAAAAGAAAGATTTTTTTAATTGGATAATACAAATTTGTTAACTAATACAAATGCATTTCATTAGCCATTCTTCTCTAAAAGTGACTATTATCTGAAATTATTTGGTCACCATTCATTTGAATTTTTGGAAAGCATCTGAAATTGAACTATTGCAAATTCTACAAAAATAAAAAAAAGTACAGCAGAAGGAGTACAGAAGGAAACATATATCCCCAGGTGCCAGTCTAAGGGGGCCATGCTAGAAACCTTATCACAATTTTGTGCTCACTTAGTTACTAGCTTTAGATTTTAGCTGAATGGCACTAAATAATTATTTATTTCTAGGTAAATTCTTAGAAGAAAAAGTACAAACATTATCTTCTGTAGGTGGTATTTTCCTTTGCTAAGTAACTGAGTCAGTTAAACATATTAATGGTGCATGGGCCTGACTTGCACTGAGCCCGTCTTTCTAATCTATTAGGAGGCTTCTATCCATGGAATACATGCTGTTGTATTCTCATTAGACAGCAATGATTTAGCCCCTAATTGCCACAAGTACAGAGCTCGTTAGATACCGTCAGGCAATCTTGCAGGCTAGGAGCCTTAGGTTCAATAAAACTGTGTTCTCCTGGATTCGAACTTACTGCTAGGCTTACACATTAACCATTTTGTTCCTATATACAATGTATTAATCATTCGAAATATATTTTAAATCTGATCTCACTGGTTCACAAAACACCTCTAGCTAACTACTTGACTACTTTTCAACCTCATTCTATTTGTCCCTCTTTTCTTCAGCATTTTACTTTCTTTCCATCTTATCACTGCCGTTTTCTGTATTGTCTTCTACTAAGTATTTGTTTTCCATTAGTGTCCCCAAATTTGTGTGTGTATATGAAACTGTATGGAAGATGTGGAAGGTATTACCCCTGTAACATTTAAACGAATCAAATATCTTCACATAGTAGTAGTACCCATTTAAAGCCAAGTTCCAAGAGGGCAGAGATTTTTTTGTTGCCTTGTTTACTGCTGAATCCCTAGTATGAGGAACATTGCCCAAAGATGGTATTCAGTATTTATTAAATGAGTTAATATATCACTTTCAAGTAATTATGTATTTTATTATATTAATCTAAAGCTCAATTTAAGCAGAATTTATGTTCGGTATCTCTTCACTAGTCTTTATTTTACTTTATAGCATTAAGTTATTATGGAACTATTTCATTAAAAACATTCAGACTTTTCAGTTTATATGTCATTTCATAAACTGAAGTTGGCAAACTTTGTGGCACTGACAAAAAAATCAAAAAGGAAAAACCCATATTAAAAATTCAATAGAAAAAATATACTCTTGTAGACTTCAAAGCCTAGCAATCAGTAAATTGTAAACTATTAAAGAGGGAAAAAAAATGTGCTAGAGCCTAGTGCCATCACACTGTCTAAAGGAAAGGCTGAAAAAGTCATAAATTGACTAATATATTAATTAGCATTTGCCTTTATAAGTTTAAACATATATTTTCCTGCCTGTTTTTTGCATGTAGTGTGTTATTTTTTATTGCAACAGTTTCAAACATCTCTGTAATTTTTATGAAAACCACAAAGGTATCTGGTGATTCTTATATCATCCATTTAAATATTAAGAGAACAGTGGATGGCTGACATTTTATAGAATTAGAACAGCTTCTGGGTAAAGTTGTACATATTCTGGTTTAAACAGTTACTTACTTTGATACCCAATTACTTGAAATTCCATGTGCAGCAAAAATTGTAAACTGAAGCTGTTCTGTTGTTGTCCACGCTTCCTTGATGTTCCTATTACTTTGGGCACAGTTTGCAGGACTCCTACCACAATTTGCATGGAGTCTGAGAAGATCATAAATTGCTGCAGTTAACTGGTCCATGCTTACTTGAACAGGATTTTCAGGATTTAGAGATCCTAGATTTAAAGAAATTGTTAATATAATTCCCTGAAAAAACAACAGTTATTGCTAAAATTTAAAGAACTTAAAGACATACCCCTAGATGAACTCTTACTAATATCTCCTTCTCCAGACAGTGAAGTCACCTGCATACACACATACAAATTAGTCAGAAAATTGCCCATGATGTACTGAAATTAAAGGTAAAAATTAAATGCTATATAAGGAAACCTCCCAAAAATTTCTGTAGAATAAAACAAAACAAAAATGCAAGAAGAAAGTGAAAATCCCAAACCAAATAAAGATGGTTTTTAGTTATCAAGAAAACCAGAATAACTAAAATTAGTGCACAATATAGAAACTCAACAAAATCTGCCTCATTAAATCAGTCTAGTAATTAAGATTTGAAACCCAAAAGTGATAAATACACTAATATGATAGTTTATATTCTTAGTAATAGTTGCTTTACTATTAGTATAATATCTTTGGGGCGCCTGGGTGGCTCAGTCGGTTAAGCGTCCAGCTTAACCCCTGCCTCTCTCTCCCTCTCTTAGAAAAAAAAAAGAAAAAAGAGAAGAGACCCAAATTTCTATATACCATATAGATAGCTTTATCCATTCATTCTCACAGAGAGCCTATCTCTTAGATATCTGTTGAAAGGCATACCATCAATATAACTTTTCCTTCCTTTAAATTTATTGTCTTGTAATATACCTTCTCTCATCCTTTCATCAGAGCTATGAACAACCCTATGAACAGAGGTACTTAAATCCCCATGGAAATACCATAGGGAGAGCTTTTTACTAAAAGCAACAGTATGATATCAAGAAAGGACGCCCAATCTGGTTGTTTCTGAGGTAATAAGTCACTATTAGTGAGACTTCTGGGTATTTTCAAGAGGAAGAGGAATCGCCAAGGCAGAACTTCTCCCATGGACAGTCATGGACGTTTCCATCCAGAAGGACAAGTGGTAACTATTACCACCCAGGTTCTGAAGCTCAGTATCCACCTTGAACCCTCCAACCAACTTTCTTATGCCACAATTCCTCCTCCACACATAAAAGGTTCACAGTTTGACATCCATGTATTCAGTATCAACCCTCACAAGCTCTTCCAAAGCAGCCCATTTCTTCTTAGGAGTTCCCAACTTTACCAAGTGACCAAATCAACTCAAAAGTGAAAGCCAAGGTTAAAATAATAACACTTTGTCTGGAAGAAGCAAAAATCTCCCAGTTTAAGTGATACTCACTGAAATACATATTTTCATTTAACAAAATGCTAATTACTAAAAGAATACTCACATCAGCACTTTTACTCCTCGGAAGATTAACTGCTCTCTTTAGCTTCTTTACTGATTCTGTAATGGCAAGAGTCTCTACACCATCTAAAGCGCTACAGATTTTTCTTACAGCTTTAATTACTTGATCTACCGCTCGGTGCTGGTTCTTTAAAAATAAAAAGTAGAAGTCAGAAATTAGACATTTTAGATGTGCTTAAGAACGGATATCCTTTCCTCTTTTGCAATGAATAAGAAATAACCTTTTCAATTATCTATTTTATTCTGAATAGGAAAAATCGGGTCTGATTTTTCACTTTGCCTGAGACAATTATTCATACACAAATGCCATTAATTTCATATTAGAATAATAAATTATTAACAAATTACTAAGTCATTAAAAAAAACTGGAGTTATTTTTTCCTCTCATTTGAGATTAAGTTCCACATTAAAAACACCAATCCTGCCTGCCAAAAATTTGGTATCAAAAACCAAGTTCTTGGGGCACCTGGGTGGCTCAGTTGGTTAAGCGACTGCCTTCGGCTCAGGTCATGATCCTGGAGTCCCTGGATCGAGTCCCGCATCGGGCTCCCTGCTCAGCAAGGAACCTGCTTCTCCCTCTGACCCTCCCCCCTCTCATGTGCTCTCTCTCTCTCTCTCTCTCTCTCTCTCTCTCTCTCTCGTTCTGTCTCAAAAAAAAAAACAAAAAAAAAAACCAAGCTCTTCAGAGGTTGGCCACATATTAATAACAATGGGCAACAGTTATGAGACGTAATCAACTTTTAAGCATCGTTTACATCTGTATAACCATCACTTTTTAAGTCTTGTCTGATGAAAAAACTTCCTTGAGGACAATTCCTCCATAGTATTCAACCACAGTTGATTTCACCATGTTTCAAAAATATACATGTACAAATATATTATAAAATCATTTACCTGATGAGAATATTTAAAACTCCCTCCCCATTCCTCCATCATCATTTTAAAGTATATGTCTCATTAAGAAACATTCTTACAGGGGCGCCTGGGTGGCTCAGCCGTTAAGCGTCTGCCTTCAGCTCAGGTCATGATCCCAGGGTCCTGGGATCGAGCCCCGCATCAGGCTCCCAGCTCAGCGCGAAGCCTGCTTCTCCCTCTCCCACTCCCCCTGGTTGTGTTCCCTCTCTCGCTGTGTCTCTCTCTGTCACATAAATAAATAAAATCTTAAAAAAAAAAAAAAAATTCTTACATAATGAATTCATCAAACATTTAAGCCAAATTTATATGCCAAGTACTGTTAGAATGGGCTGAAACTTAGTACTGTACCATCCCTTAAAAATTTAAACTTTTCCACCCTTGAGGCTTGGCAACCATAATCTAAATGCTCCCTGTACCTTCATGCTTAAATGAAACTACCTCATTTTCTCAAACACCCAATTACCCTCCAGTCCTCAGGGCCTAATAGTCTATTTTCTAGCTCCCCATTTTTGCTTACATAACTTATATTTCTGTTTACTTTTACTCCTATACCTTCATGCAAAAATCTTTCCAATTTTGAGGCTCAGGTCCCCATCATTTTTTACATGCCAGTTATCAATTTATTGTCTATCAATTCCAAATCCACCCTTCTTTGCTCCACTTTGTGATACTGAAGCTAGACCTATAAACATTTCTCCTTTGCCAGCTGACACAATGTTAGGTTTTGTCAATAGAGGGCACCGAAGAGACACTCACGCAACAGCAGCATGAAGACACTTCTCATCAAGGTTCTAGTCCTCCATTTTTTACTTCAGCTTCAGATCCCAGTGATCCTCAAAGACCAGCTTCAGCTGCGCCCCCAGGCCATGGTCTCCCAATCCCACAACTCTATCAAGTTTCTTTGCTATAAGCAACCTATGTGTTCCTGTGATAGCCAAACCTTCTTAGAAAAGGCTGGGTTTCAGCCTGAGGTTGGAGGGGAGGTTCTATCATAACTCCTTAGAATTCCTTCACTATCCATTGTTCCTCCACCTAGAGTTAACAGCTGCTTTACCACACCTATTACTTCTGGACCCCTCAGAACATGATTGGCAAACTTTTTAAAGGACAGAGAGTAAACATTTTAAGCTTTTTGGGCCATACAGTCTCTGTCACAATTCAACTCTGCTATTATGGTGTGAAACAGATACAGATAAAATGTGAACCAATGAGCATGGCTGTGTTCCAATAAAACTTTATTTACAAAAATAGGCAATAGGCCAGATTTAGCATGCAAGCCATAATATGCCAAACCCTGCCTTAGAATCCTTTCTTACCCTTTATAGTAATTAACTACCTTTTACTAATTAATGACTCTTTAAATTTCCCTGTTCTATACTCACCTTTCTACCCTATATCCTATAATAAGCTTCAGTTATATAAATGTCCATGTGGAAAATTCATAGCATCTTCAACCCCAAAACTATACCCTATGAGAATCTTAACTACAATATCATACTCTTATCACAATCTCCTTTGTTCTCACACATTCATTCTGACTAAACTAAGTCTTTGAGCTCAGATTCTATTCTCTGCCTCTTCTACCAGGTAGTTGAATACTTTCAAAGAAAATCTCAGAGCTGTACAGATTCAACATTCCCTAATTTCAGCAGGAACCTGCATGCCACTTAACATTCCTTTTACTTGTTCTTGGTCAGTTCTCTTTCCATTTCTTCTTAGAATATGAGGCCAAACCATTATTCCTTGGCTCAAAACCTTTGCTGCTACCCTAACTTCATTTTAGTAAAATAACACCTTATCTCTAGAAAATTAAGGCCAGTCGGAATCAAAACTTCTGCAACTTCCTGACCTGCCCTAAAACCTAATTAAAATGTACAAAGACTTCTACGTGAATGTTTATAGCAGGATTACTCATAATAACTAAAAACTGTAAACTGTCAAAATGTCCATTATTTGGTGACCAGATAAACAAAATATGGCATATCCATACAATGGAATTATCTAGCAATAAAAAAAGTATCAAGGGGCGCCTGGGTGGCTCAGTCGTTAAGCGTCTGCCTTCGGCTCAGGTCATGGTCCCAGGGTCCTGGGATCGAGCCCCGCATCGGGCTCCCCGCTCAGCGGGAAGCCTGCCTCTCCCCCCTCCACTCCCCCTGCCTGTGCTCCTCTCTCAATGCGTCTCTCTCTGTCAAATAAATAAATAAAATCTTTAAAAAATAAAAATAAAAAAAGTATCAAATTGTGGATACACACTACAACTTATATACAACATGGACAGAGCTTAAAGACAGTATGGTATGTGAAAAAAAATCAGATGTAAAAGATTCCATAGGGTATGATTCCATTTACATGAAATCTCCATTAAAGGCAAATCTATCAAGCTGGGAACCAGATCAGGCATTATCTGGGGGTGGGTCTGGGAATGGGGAATGACTGCAAAGTAGCAAATGGAAACTTTTGGGAGTGATGAAAATGTTCTAAAGAACTGGATTGTGGGGATAATTATACAAATCTATGCATTTACTAAAAGAAATCACTGATTTATATACATCCAATGGGTACATTTTATGGTATATAAATTATACCACAATAAAGCTATAAAAAATGTGGGTAATAAATGATAGTCACTATTTTAAAAAATTTATTTTTTAGTCACTATTTCAGATAAGATGGTCATGAAGACATCTGTGATAAGACATTTGAGTGTAGACCTTAATAAACTGAAGGGTAAGCCATGCAAATATCTGGGGGAAGAGCATTAAAAGTAAAGGGAACAAAGAGGCGCCTGGGTGGCTCAGTCAGCTAAGTCCGGTTAAGTCCAACTCCTGACTTCATCTGACTATTGACTTCAGCGCAGGTCATGATCTCAGGGTTGTGAGATCAAGCCCTGCATCTGGTTCTGCCTACTTAACATTGCTATTAAGGTGAATAAAAGTCGGGTGCCTGGGTGGCTCAGATGGTTAAGTGTCTGCCTTCGGCTCAGGTCATGATTCCAGGGTCCTGGGATCGAGTCCCGCATCGGGCTCCCTGCTCGGTGGGGAGCCTGCTTCTCCCTCTGCCTCTCTCTCTCTCTCTCTGTCTCTTATGAATAAATAAATAAAATCTTAAAAAAAAAAAAAAAGGTGAATAAAAGTCATCACAAAGATAAAGTCCAAAATTAAGTTCCATATCTTTCACCCAAATCTGCTCCTCTCTTGGTTTCTCCCTCTCCCACCCCTCTTTCCCCCACCCACCCTCTGCAGCTAGCAAAACATCTTCCTAATTGATTTGTTTCCATTCTCTCCCTGCTTCTTCACTCTAGTCTAGCTAGAAAGACAGACCTTATATATACCAGGCACCCTCCTCCTCCCCTAGATAACCAGATAGCTTCTTTCTCTCCTCCAGTTCTTTGCTCAAATTCATCTTCTCAATGAGGTCTTCTCTGAATAAAATGTTGAAACTGCAACATTACCCTCCTTTATTTTTCTCTGTAGTGCTTACTATCTGATGTAGCATATGTTTTGCTAGTTTTATTGTCTGTCTCATCCAACTGGAGTGTTAACTAAGAGCTGGGATTACAGTTTCATTTGCTCACTGACATATCCTCAGCACCTACAACAGGCCTCACAATGAAGAGATATTCAGCAAATATTTATTGAATAAATATGTCTATATGCTGACAAGAATGCATTAGTAGCTAGAAATTTGAGAGTCATCCTACACTATTTCTTCTATCTCATTACTTACAAAATCTTACCAATTTCATCTCCTAAATATTGTTAATCAGATCCCTCCTTCTTACCTTGGCCACTCATTATCTTTCACTTGGACTACTATAAAAAACCTTCCTAAGTAGTCTCCCTGAAACCAATCCTGCCAGAACTAAATCTAACTTCCACAGTATGGCCAGAGTGATTTCAAAGCTTAAGACTAAACAAGTCACCCACCCCCATCCCACCCCCTAACCTCAGCTAAAAATATCTTAAATGCCTAGAGCAGGGGTCAGCAAACCTTCTCTATAAAATAGCAAATAGTAAATTGTTCAGGTTTTGCACAATATACAGTATCTGTCCCAACTACTCAACTCTAGTATTAGAGCACAAATGCGGTCACAGAAAATATGTAAACTAATGGGTGTGTCTGTGTTCCAAAATCGGCCCTCTAATCTAGAGGACAGAGTAAAAGCTTACATGGATTATAAGGTGGTAACTTATATCTGGTATCTCCAGCGTCCTCTCCCAATCTTCCTGTCACACACTGTGTTCTATTACAGAAGTGCATATATTTCCACATATGTATCACGCCTGTGTGCTTTTGTTCACATGCCCTTCCCAACTATCTTCTAGCTAACCCATACTGTTGACTTGGCTCAGGTAAACTCCCTTCCTAGAGACTTTCCATGAACTCTCAAGTTGGAAGAAGTGCCCTTCTTTGATGTCCCAAAGAACCCAATGTATACCTCTATACTACATTTACTATACTATATTGAAATTTGGTTTAAATCCATCACTAGTTTTAAGTTCTTGGCAAGTGGGGACTAGGTCTTTCATTTTCATTACTCCAGCATCTAGCATATAGTAAACTATAGTAAACATATAGTAAATCCGTTAATGCTTTTTGAATTGAACTAAAGGCTCCTCTTAGTAATAAAGCTTTAGTGAAGTGAAGTGCTGACTCAGGCAATATTGAGAATTTTGGTTAACAAGATGGGTCAGAAAAAAAGTCATCAAACATCAACATCAAGAATATAGTTTAAATCATCCTTCTAAAATATTTCCTCGAACACCACACTAATATTTAAGATAGAAAAAAGACAAGAATCCTTAAGTCATCATGCCAAAATGTGAATTAAGACTTACTTCAATTTGAAGAGCCAGTTCCACTTGGTTGTGATAAGAATCTAAAAGTTCGTCAACAGGGTATCTGAAATAAAGAACAGTTATTATGACTGAAGGGTACTATACACAAATGATTGTTTTATTCACCAAAATGAAGGTATTCACATCCAAAAGCAAAGTTTGAAAACCTGGAATTAATGCTTTAGATGCCACACCTTGTCAAGACTTCTTTATAAGGTTTTTCCATTTGATGCAAGTGTTTGTTTAAATCCACAGGTGTTTTATCATCTTCTGCCTAAAAAAACATATGTATACACATTTTTAGCAAAAAAATAAAATCCATTCTTTGGTCTTTCTATTGCCAAATTAAATATGGTTAAGCGTATGATAAATTCTTGAAACTAAAGTGATTTTTCAGAACAGAGGCTAAAATATTATCAAAATTAAATACTATTTATAACTGAGGAAAAAAGTAAATCAATATTCTGAAAAATTTTATAAATAAAAAAACATAAATGCTTTTAAGTCTAGTTTCTGATATATAAGTAGCTCCCAAAGTAATAACTACTGCTGTTCTATAAGGAAAGAACAGAGAGCTTTAAAAAACAAAACAATTTTTATTTATTTTTATTTTTTAAAAAAATTTTACTTGTTTGAGAGAAAGAGAGAGCACAGCTGGGGGAGAGGCAGAGGGAGAGGGAGAAGCAGACTCCTCGTTGAGCAGGTAGCCCGATGTGGGGCTCAATCCCAGGACCCTGGGATCATGACCTGAGCTGAACGCAGCCGCTTAACCGACTGAGCCACCCAGGCGTTCCAAAACAAAACACTTTTAAAGATGGTTGGCAGCTAAATGAGAACGTTGGTGAGGTTGGAGCAGATGCGGAAGAGATCATCTGAATGTCTGCATTATTTTTCTAATGATAATCAAATGTCCCCCAACCTTACCCCCAATAAACAAGGTACTTCTCTTCTACCATACTTAGTATGTAAATATATTCTACCATATATCTACTACCATACTTAGTATGTAAATATATTCAAAAACATCTCTTCTACCATACTTAGTATGTAAATATATTCAAAAACATCATTCCTTAAGAAACTGAAGAGAAGTCACTAAAGATTGCTAAAATGTACTGAATTTCATGAAATAGTTTTCACCCAAGTGAAATAAATTCTATGAAACATAGAAGCAAAACCTAAGAAAATAAAGTAGAAATGACTGCTATTTTTCCATCCAAGTTCTACCAAATGAAGAATAAAGATTAAAATTTATCAAGTGTTCATACAGTAATAAAACAGCCTAATTTCCTGCATTCTAATTTGCTTTAACTTCAAAAGAAAGTACCGTATTTTATTTTTATTTTTTTAAGATTTTATTTTATTTATTTGAGACAGAGAGATAGAGAGAGAGCACAAGAGGGTGTAGGGTGAAAGGGAGAAGCAGACTCCCTGCGAGCAGGGAGCCCGATACGGGACTCGATCCCAGGACTCCGGGATCATGGCCCGAGCTGAAGGCAGTCGCTTAAGCAACTGAGCCACCCAGGTGCCTGAAAGTACTGTATTTTAAAAAGAGAAGGGGCGCCTGGGTGGCTCAGTTGGTTAAGCAACTGCATTTGGCTCAGGTCATGATCCTGGAGTCCCGGGATCGAGTCCCCACATCGGGCTACCTGCTCGGCAGGGAGTCTGCTTCTCCCTCTGATCCTCCCCCCTCTCATGCTCTCTCTCTAATAAATAAATAAAATCTTAAAAAAAATAAAATAAAAAGAGAAGTAGTTTTCATTTGGTGCAGAATAATGTATTTTTCTCAGTTTGATGCAAAAGTCAATGTGGATCTTTTCTTCCCCCAAACCATATTTAGTATTCAAAATCTTTCCTCCTTCCTCATTTCTCTTTGAACTGTGTTTTCATTCTTGTGTAAAACCATTACAAATCAAACTTTTATTTCCTCCACTCTGATTTTCAAATATGCCTCCAGCTCAGAGAAGTATGTTACTTAAGACTCCATGATTGAAAAGCTCCTCCCATCTGCTTTAAAACCCTTGTTGTGGATAGAATTAGTTCTTCATTCCAATCCATTCACCAGTCCAACCCAGATATCTTAGAGAATGTACAAACTGCAAATTGGCTAATTAGCAGAATTACTCAGATTCAACCAAATGCAATTCAGTTATAAGGTACATACTTACTGTTCGGGCCAGATTTTGGCACATTGCGCTGAAGGTCAAAAGTTGTAGTTTAATCTCTGTGTCCCATTTTCGGCAGTTTTGAATATATTCATGACTTCCAAGGCAATGGTTACTATTAAAATATATTAATTATTCATCAATGTTATTCTCAAACTAGAAATTACAGAGGTAAGAGTAAAATATAACTTGTATCTGCATCAGAAATTGAAGAGAATGGTAAAATGTAGAGATAGTTTTTTAACCAAGTGTGGGCACTTAAATAAAATAATAATTCTACATGAGAATAGTCACAGCACAGAAGAAAGAAGATGAAGATGAAACAGAAAATAAGAAAAATAAGGGCAGGGCATTTTAAGTAACCTAAAATAATGAAATCCGTAAAATAACTAGACTAAAAGCTAGATACAATAAATTATCTGGTTCAGAAAAAAATTATAATGATTATTTCAGGCAATTAAAAGGAAGTCACAGCTGACCACTGTGTGAAAAGTAATGGTATAAAAAAAAAAAAGAAAGAAAATAGTACATGCTACAAAAGGAAAATGGAGTCTATAATGATGTGACTATCGACTCTTAGCAGAAAGAAAAAAGCCATTAAATTCACTTACCAACCAATTACGCACCATTCTTCCCATTTAAGACTATAAGCTTAAGGGCAATACGACTTCTTATTTATGTCTGATAACCCTCCACTGACTTAAACACATCTTAAAACAAAGTATATCTCAATATAAGCTTATTGATCAATGAATCAATTTAGTAGGACCCAATGTAGTCTTAGATTACAAATTTAACTTGAAATTTTTCTCATTTAACTCCTTAAAATTAAATTTCCGAAGATGTTGCTTAGTAGTTAAACGAATACTTACTTCTGCAGCACTTCCTCTTGACCACAAACTTTCAGAACATAGCTGCCAACATCTACTTGATTCAAGTCATCATGTACCCAGCAAAGGGCTTGCATTATAATGATTTCTACAGTAGAACTCACTGTAAAAGAGGCATCATTTTCATTTTGCTCATTTCACTCTATACACTTATTGAGAATGTAATTCTTATCATTTAAGAGTGTACTATACAACAGCAGTATAATGTAGATCACATATAGAATTTAAGATTTTCTACTAGCCAGATTAAAAATAGTAAAAAGAAACAAGTGAAGCTAATTTCAACATGTTTTATTTAACCTAATAAATCCAAAATGTCACTGCAACATATAACCAGCATTTTAAAATTACCAATGACACATCTTATTTCTTTTCAAATTGGGTCCTTGAAATCCACTGTGTATTTTACACGTACAACACATCTCACTCTATATTAGCCACATTTCGAGTACTCAATAGCCACATTGGGCTAGTGATTACTGTATTAGATAGGGCAGATCTAAGCTACGAAAGCCACCTCCCTATTGGAGTCTTCCTCCAAAAAGGTTGACATTTAGCAGTATCTAGCAAACGATGATTTAAACCAAATCATAAGGAAAAAAAAATCACCATTTTAAATGTTTGACATGTTCCTGATAAATTTTCCAATGAAGACTAAAAATACAGCAAGTAGGAAGTATTATTCAATTATCATTCTTGACAATAGCTGGATACTAAGATTACAACACATTTAGAAAACTTAAAGTAACCTCTTAATCTATTTCGTACTTAGAGCTCCTATGTTCAATTTAGAAGACATTACTAAGTTCAGACTTCATGAAAATCAACAGATTGGCAGAAAAGGCTGTAAAATATCCAATGCAATGGGTACATTTCTGAACAGTCAACTGTATGGTAACATTTATCATTTGGACACACTTCTGCCATAATATGGTTACATTTCTTAACAGAGATATGCATTGTAAATGTACACATTTATGAAGAACCAAACAATAGGCATTTTGAGATATTTTCTCGAAAAGTAATCATATCTTGATAAATCAAGTCAAAATTTGATACAAATTAAAACATTTGTCATCAATGCTTACTATTTCTATCAAGGGGCCTACTGACCTTTCTTTACTTTAATCTTAGTAGTAATTCTTACAACATGTGGGTTTTAAATAATTCCCCAAATCAAAATTTAAAGTATGCTTTATAAGAATAGTTCTTCCTTTAGAAACTAAAAGAATGATTGTTATAGTTGGCTAACATTTTTGTTTCAGATTCATATTTTTTTCAAAGAGCCTTGAAAAGTGCAAAGCTACAAGAAAGTATCCAAATATTGGACATATTCCTAGTCATAACCATTACAGAAAAAAATGGCATCATTTTTAGGCCAAAGTACTGTAGAAATAGAGGCTCTTATTCTACTGTTGGAATCCCATTAAAACAATATACGTCATGAGACTCAATAAACTATGACAAAAAATTTCCTACAGACTTAAGGATACATTTCTAGAAAGGATATCCACACCAAATTTGGAAGAAAGAGTTAGAACCAAAGGAGAATTATCTTCTTTGAGGAGCTTAGCAAAATACCTGGAATTTCAATTTCACTGACAGCTCTTTATAAACAAGCACTCTTTTTGCCATAAAATGAAAAAAAAAAAAAAAAGCATTGGACTATAATTAGCCTTTCAATCTCATGCTTTGGGACCTTGGCCAAGGGCCATCAATTAATCAAAACTACTCAGCATTTTTCAGAGTAATATGCAGTAATAAAGGTAAACTATTTTCCCACTAGTCCTAACCAGAAAATTATCCAAATGAATGCCAATTTTTTGAAAAGGGTAACTAATGAATGTTAAGTATTTTACCACACACACAACACAAAATTTTTAAAAAGGATACCTAATGGTAACAGGGTCAAGAATGATTAAAATTAACATTTTAAACATTTCTCCCTAATCAGAGCAAAACAAGATCGTTGGGAAACTATCAACCTACCATCACATGTAAAAGTAACTGGCAATTGAAATCCTTCAATTTCAATGGAGACCTTCACGCTAGCATTTTCTCCACATATGTTTCTTTGTACTGTAACTGGACTTAACAAATAGCCTGGATTTGTGCAGTGATTAGTATATGGAAAGTTGGTCTTCAATCTGTTCACAAGAAAGAAGGAATAAAAAAAATTTTTAAAGCTGCATTTGAGAGCCCTAAACAAAACTTTGCATGCTTACAGCCATTCAGTTCTGTGTCTTTGTTCAATTCTAGAGCAGCTCTTGAGAACTGTAATGAATGGACCCCAGTCAAACTCCAAATACCAGCATTTGCCTTTTATTTATTTATTTATTTTTAAGATTTTTATTTATTTGATAGAGAGAGACACAGGGAGAGAAGGAACACAAGCAGAGGGGGTGGGAGAGGGAGAAGCAGGCTTCCCACTGAGCAGGGAGCCCGATGCGGGGCTCGATCCCAGGACCCCAGGATCACGACCTGAGCCCAAGGCAGATGCTTAACGACTGAGCCACCCAGGCACCCCCAGCATTTGCCTTTTAGATAAAAGGAATCCCAGAAAAGAGATTAAGTACTGCCAGGATATCTGTGGTAACATTATCAACATTAACCAGGCATACACTGGATACAAGGCATTAAATGAGGTTTTCTGCTTCAGATTTTTTGGCTATACAGTATCATTACACAAAATGTATACTTTTAATGAATCCACTGAGAATATAGGCAAAGTAACCTTCAACTGCAATTGTGAGAGGGACAAAAAGTCTGTTGTCTTTTAAAAATCTTTTCCTTAGAGTCTTTTCCCTACATTTTGGGGGCAGAGGTTGTTAGACAACAATAAAAAATCATTACCAGTTTTTACAGTGCTATAGGCCTTTATTGTCTCAAAATGATTCTAAAACTTAGGGAATGGCAAGAATTGCCTGTGAAGGTATTCACAGGAACAACACAGTTGGTAAATTGAAATACAGGAGTACGGTATATATGGCTCTTCTCCAGACAGCACTTCTGTTATCAGAAAACAAAGGAAAATTTGATGCCTTATTTAAACTTGTAGCCTTCCTTTAACTGACTTTTTTCTGGAGGTTAGAAGACAAGATCAAATCCTCCTATCTGCTTTTCATAGGAATATAAATGGAATGAATGCTTGAAGTGTTGTATATTTGCTTCTGTAGAGATTAAAATAATCAAGTCATAGGAATAGAATAAAATAGTTTGAGTTGACAAAAAGAAAAGGATCAGGAGAGGGACACCTGGGGGGCTCAGTTGGTTAAGTGTGTGACTTTTGGTTTCAGCTCAGGTCATGATCTCAGGGTCCTGAGATTAAGCCCCTCGACCGGCTCCATGCTGAGCATGGAGTGTGCTTGAGATTCTTTCCCCCATCCTATCCCTCCCCCTCTATTCTTCCCCCTGCTTGAGCTCTCTCTCTCTCTAAAATAAATAAAATCTTGGGACGCCTGGGTGGCTCAGTCAGTTAAGTGTCTGCCTTCAGCTCAGGTCATGATCCCAGGGTCCTGGGATTGAGCCCCTCATCAGGCTCCCCAATGTTTATAGCAGCATTATCTATAATAGCCAAATTATAGAAACAGCTCAAGTGTCCACTGATACTTATATATATATGTGTATATATGTATATATATACACACACACATACATACATAGTTATATATACATATATATATAATGGAATACTGGAATATATAATGGAATATTACTCAGCCATAACAAAGAATAAAAGCTTGCCATTTGCAATGACATGGATGGAGCTGGAGAGTACTATGCTTAGAGAAATAAGTCAAAAAAGACAAATACCATGATTTCACTCATATGTGGAATTTAAGAAACAAATAAATGAGCCAAGGGGGGAGGGGAAGAGAGAAAGGCAAACCAAGAAACAGACTCTTTTTTCTTTATGTAGGTTCCATGCCCAGCATGAAGCCTAGCATGGAGTTTGAACTCATGACCCTGAGATCCAGACCTGAGCTGAGATCATGTCAGACCCTTAACTGACTGAGCCACCCATGTGTCCCCAAGAAACAGACTCTTAACTATACAGAACAAAGTGATGGTTACTAAGAGGAGGTGGGTGAGGGAATGGGTTAAATAGGTGATGGGAATTAAGGAGTGCACTTATTGTGACGAGCACAGGTGATACATGGAAGTGTTGAATCACTATATTGTACATCTGAAACTAATATTGTACCTATATGTTAACTAACTGGAATTTTTTTTTTTTTTAAAGATTTTATTTATTTGACAGAGAGAGACACAGCAAGAGGAAACACAAGCAGGGGAAGTGGGAGAGGGAGAAGCAGGCTTCCCACTGAGCAGGGAGCCTGATGCGGGGCTTGATCCCAGGACCCTGGGATCATGACCTGAGCCGAAGGCAGACGCTTTAACGACTGAGCCACCCAGGCAGCCCCATTTTAGTCCTTTAAACTAAAAGAGACTCTTGAGATCACTAATCCAACTCCCTAATTTCACACAAGAAAAAAAAAATGTATCAGTCTGTTACACAAGTAATCTTAATTGTAAACAAATACCTGACAAATCTTTCATAGCTGAGTTAAAATGACTAAATGAATCATTTTAGGAGATTTCAAAACGTAAGGAGTTTAAGGAGTAAGAGTGTAAATTCCAGTGCAGAAATGACCATACTGGAAAAAATAGAGCCATTAATTTCTTCAAGGGACACCTCCTGACCCCAATCTCCAAAGTCACACGGGAAAAGAGGAGCCTAGAACATGGCTTCAAAAACACCTCTGTTTCTTACTTCTCTGAAATATTTGTTGCAATCACTCTCTACTAATGGAAATAAAATTACAAAAAGAAGACATTCTCTCCTTAGTTCATCTGGGGTTTCAGATTACGTAAGCCACTGTGTGCGTAAATAAAAATAATCATTTTAGCTTAGTGGCAGAGTCTGTAAATAACTCTAAGATTCAAATGGGGAGAAAAGGTAGATATCAGCCTAATTTCTCCACCTGCAAAGCTTAAATGCCATAGTCACTCAACACAGTCTAACAGAAAGCATATAGGGCTTATTTAGGGAGAAAACTGAAGGAACTACATAAACACGTAACAGATTACTTCCAAACAATTAAGGCAAAAGAGTATTTCCAAATTATTAACCACACACACACGGTATAATCACATGAAGGCATAGGTAACTTATAATATACGTAATTTGAATACTAAGTCACCTAAATGTCTCTTCCATCTTAAATGCCTACTGAAAAACCAGATTTTAAAAATCCAGTTAAGAGTAAACTTTGCAGGAAAGAAAAAGTGGCTCTACTGATATTTTTCTTCTTTTTCTCCCCTAAGGTATTCTGAAGAAAAGAAATGCTGGTTAAGAGGTAACAAAGAGGGCGCCTGGGTGGCTCAGTCGTTAAGCGTCTGCCTTCGGCTCAGGTCATGATCCCAGGGTCCTGGGATCGAGTCCCACATCGGGCTCCCTGCTCGGCAGGAAGCCTGCTTCTCGCTCTCCCACTCCCCCCGCTTGTGTTCCTGCTCTCGCTATCTCTCTGTCAAATAAATAAATAAAATCTTTACGGAAAAAAAAAAAAAAAAAGAGGTAACAAAGACAGAATTTTAATGAAATACTACCAAAAGTCTAGAAAATCTAGTTAATAAGCTCCTTAAACATTAAAATGATGTATATACTCAAAAATGATTTGGGAACCCCAAACTCTGTTTTGCTTAAAGCAGACCACACTGAGGAAAATAGTGAATTCAGAATAAATCCCTCAGTAGTGATATACTTTCTTTTGATAATAGATTTCAACCCCTTGGCCACAATGTTTGTTATTCCACTCTTTCCTTCCGTGGGATTTTTGTATCTGGTGCAGGCTAAGAGGACTCCCTTTCCTCTCTGATAGCAAGACCATTAGAATATGAAGTCTAAGCTATCAGTGGCTATATTCCCTGCCTTCAAAACCCCATCTGCAGTAGTAGAAAATGAAGCCAACATGCAGGAAGGAAGGGCAGGAAGAAGGAAAGGATGAAAATGGGAAAGGGGAATCCAAAGGGAGGAGGGATCAATTCAAGTGTGTGAATTCCAAGATCTTGCTGTCACTGAGTTCTGCTCTATCCTTCCTCTTTCTGCTATAGGGGTTTATGAATCAATATATGACTGTTCTTGATTTAAGCTCGTTTAAGATGGGTTTCTAGCACTCACAACAGAAGTCCAGACTAATACAGTGATACAATGGAAAGAAAACACACTGAATCAGAAGCAAAGGAGACCTGGCTCTCTATGCTGCTGGCTAGCTGAGTAAATTTTAGTAGGTAACTTCTCTGAGTCTCAGTTTCCTCATCTATAAGAAGTATTAGACATATTTAAGATAAAAAGAATATTTTAGAAATACATTTTCCTAACCTTCAGAAAATGTATTTGCTCCTGTAATCTTTTAAAGCATCTCTTAAAGGAGGACAGTATTTTGAATGTCAGAATGTTTACAGAAAATTAAGTCTCCCTAAAACAAAAACAGGCATTTTCTAAGTGTACCAAAACTTATATATGTTTAAGGCATGTTTTCAATGGTTAATTAACTGTCTGACCTCAATTTTTTCTTCTAAATACTCACAAACTAAACAGGTAAAGATACAGGTTCAACTGCAGTTGGTGTTAATGTGTTAATTAATGGTCTTGAAATTTTAGCCACAGGGAAAACATAATTAAAATTTTAAAAATTTTAGAATTATTAGTACTAAGCTTGTTTGCAAGTTAACTTTTTCAAAGCGAGTATTTAATAAAAAAATCTTTAATTTATAAAGAAAAATTCCTTACTTTGTAATGGACTGACAAAAAGCTGCCACTTCCTCATTCTGTACTTCAATTTCTTGTAGAAGAGAACTTCCAGTTGACAAACTACTGGTCCCATTTGGGTCTTTCTGTAACCAAAAAAATGTTTTTATTTTAAAAGTAAAAGATCCCCAAATGCTAAATAGAAGCATAGCACAAACCCATTTTTACAAAAGTATGTACAAAGATATGGAGAGAAAATAAATCATATCAATAACAAAGTTTTATATAATAGATTTCTATCTTTGTAAAAGTAATACCAGCTAATGAGCCTTGAAGTTCATTGGTTTTACTTGCTCAAAAGTAGAAGTGGGCTATACTCTGTACTGGTCAACAAGACTGGAATGCTAAAGATATTTCCATTCAAAATCTTCCCGAAATAAATGCTTCAGAGAGTTAACAGCTGAATAAAATTAAAGGACTATGCTGTTTTAAGAAAGTGGAAAGATCAGGCCCATTTGGGACTCCTCTAGTAACCAGGAATTCTATTTTTTCAACTTTGGCCTCAAATTCCAAGAAAGCAGCTGGTTCTTTATGTAAGACAATGAGTTTTAGGAGTGAGCAGGCACTTTCCATGTTAATAAACTTATGCAAACATCCTGACAGTCCTTTAAAAGTTTATGTCTGATCAAACTCTGTGTGCAATGCTTTAACAAGATAAATTCACTACCCAACAAAGCCGAACAGCAGAGTCCATTTGGAAGTGTCTTTTTAAAAAAAGATTTTATTTGAAAGAAAGTGCGCGTGCAAGTGCCTGAGTGGGGAGGTGCCGGGAGTGGAGGTGGGGGCCGCAGTGGGAGCAGAGGAGGAGGGAGAGGAAGGGGGAAAGAATGTTAAACGGACTCCACGCTGAACGCAGAGGCCAACACAGGGCTGGATCTCACGACCCTGAGCTCACAACCTGAGCTGAAACCAAGAGATACTTAACGGACTGGGCCACCAAGGCAGCCCCGTTTAGAGGTGTTTTGACTTATTACATAAAAATACTTACTCTGACACAAATTTCAAATGTAAATTTCCTTTGAAATTAAATTAAAATTGGAATATTCTCAATTCAAAATTAAGTGAATGAGAATACAGTACATACATTTCAAGAATTCTAATGGAGTTCAATGATCATGGCACACAAAAAGACCTTGTCAGAAAAATTACTGAAAATTTAGGGCAACAATTCCTTTATGAATTTCCTTCTTTTAAAATGTGTCAGAGCCCTTTCTCCTAGAATGTGATATGCACATGTAAGGGGAGAACAAAAAAAACACAAAACAAGCCTTGAGTTCTAGAAAATCACAACTAAAAATAACACAGCTCATGGGAAAAAACACAGTTAAGGCAAACTATTCAAAATCAGCGTAACTTTGTAATCAAGGCCTCGACTAAAATAACAAGTCCTTATAAAAATACGTGCACAGTTAAATCTCCACTTGAATGTGCACCTAGCATTATGGTCTTAGATCCTCTGAAGCCTTAAACCCTGGAACTCCTGCTTCCTCGTTTGTGATATGGATTCTTGAGGGCATCTGCTTCTAGCCAAGACCAATTTCAGTGAAGTTAAAACTATAATCTAGGAACTTCACGAAAGTTCTTAAAGCAAAGAGAAAGGTCTTCACACCTTCTTTGTCTGCACTTACTGCTTCACCAGAGAGCTTAACACTGTGGAATATGGAGTCGTTCTTGAAGCCACTCATTCAACCACCATCATCACTAGAAGACAACACTTCTGCAGGATTTCCAATGTTTTCCTTAATATTTTCTCATATTACTAAGGCCTTCTCTTTAATTGTGAGAAAGTTTGTTCTTGATTGTTTTAAAATGTTACATGCTGGAAAGATTATGTTTGAACTAATGCCACTTAGCCATTTTACTGACATCAAGCCAATATTTACCAATTATGTAAGTTAATTTGTGTTATAGGAACGAGCACTGTAGCAAATAAACCATACAACCCTGAAAATGGGATTTGATATTTCTATAAATTCTCTGGTCTGACATATCAAGTTTGCCATAATCTAATCCAACCGCATTTCCCAGAACTTACCAAATGATTTCTATGTTCCAACTAGCTTAAATCATATCCTGTTCCTATAAAACACAAACTGAACTATCCTGCCTCTGAATCTTTTAGTCTTCAATGCCTTCCTCCTAACCTGCCCTCACAACCCAAGTCAAAATCTGTTATTTTTTAAGGCCCAACAAAATGCTACTTCATCTACAGTGTCCTTTAATACTTAGCATGAAACAATTCTCCCCTCCTATCACTTCTAAGTACTTAGTCTGAACCAAACACCATATCATCACATTGTTTTATATTTGTCGTAATGTGAAAGCCCTTTGAAGATAATCTAATTTTATTGAATGTTACATTCTTGTAGAATTTTATATCAGGTGCCCCTAGGTCTTTCCTTTCAAGAAGGTTATAGATCATAGATCACACAGATCACTTAATTTCTGCAATTTTCTATATAAGTTTCAACTGACAGTGACAGAAATAGACTATAATTCTCTAGTCATACATCAAGATAAAAACACCTGAAAAGTTCTGTTTTTATTTTGTTTTTACAAAGTAAAAAACAGTTGAGTTGCAAATGTGTCATCTTATACAGGAACATTAGGTTTTTGGTTTTTCTTCATTCTTTCTGTAACAAATTTTTTTTTTTTTTTACATTTTACACTTTAGGGGTGGCTGGGTGGCTCAGCTGTTAAGCGTCTACCTTCGGCTCAGGTCATGATCCCGGCATCCTGGGATCGAGTCCCACATCGGGCTCCTTGCTCCGCGGGAAGCCTGTTTCTCCCTCTCCCACTCCCCCTGCTTGTGTTCCCTCTCTCGCTTGTCTCTGTCAAATAAATAAGTAAAATCTTAAAAAAAAAAAAAAAATTTTTTTTATACTTTACACCTATTCCCTCAACTCTTGGCCCCAGTCCTGCCCTTAAATTCCACTCAAACAACCTAGGCATCAAATCATCTCTTTTCTCCACTGATTTTGCACAAACCTTTATGTAGCATTCAAGGCTTTCTATTTTGTACTGCAGTTATATGCACACACATGGTGTCTCTCCCTTCTAACCCAAGTTCTTTAAGGATTAGGTCTGTGAATGATTAATCTGTAACCCATACATTGTATCCTCAAATATTTTTCAACCAATGAAAGAGACAAATAAAAAATTGCTAATGCTATTATCTAATATATGTAACAAAGAAAAAAGTCTGTGGGGGGAAGATAGTGAGTTTTCTAGTAAATATTTTACGTTTGTAAATTCATGTAGTTGTTTGGTTACCATCTAGAAGTATTCTATTCCAGAGCTAAATGCATAGATTTGAAGATCATTTAATTTCTCCAATTTTCTACTGGGAAATTTCTCTCTGCTAATGGCTGTAGGCATCCATTTAAGATCAATGAGAGAGCAATATCCCATATATACACACATGTAAAGAGATTTACTATAAGACGTTGGCTCCTGTGATTATAGAGGCTGACAGGCCTCAAGATCTGTCAGCTGGCAAGCTGGAGACCCTGGAGACAATGGTATAGTTCCCATCTTAGTCCAATAGGCTCAAGACCCAGGAAGAGCTGATGTTTCAGCTGGAGTCCACAGGCAGGAAAAAAAAAAAAACCCATGTTCCAGCTCAAAGGCAGCTAGGCTGGAGGAATTTCCCCTCATTAGAAGTAGGGTCAGCTGCTTTGTTCTATTCAGGCACTGAACTGGTTGGATGAGGTCCACCCACCTTAGGGAGGGCAATCTGTCTTTACTCATTCTATGGATTCAAATATTAATCTCATCCAGAAACACCCTTACAGACAAACTTATATTAACGTTTGACCAAATGTCTGAGCACCCCAAGGCACAATCAAATGGACACATAAAATTAACCATCAGAGCATCTCAACCACAGAGAACCAAGGAGTCAAATCATTGCAGGAGCGTAGACCAGTAGCTTTCAAACTATCTTGGAGCCTCAAAATTAAGCACCGACCAAGAGAGTACAGGTAAGAAATATTAAAGGCAACTAGAGCAAAACCTTGGAGAAATGCCTATGTTTAGAAGCTAGACAAAGGAAAAGGAGTCAAAGATTACAGAAGGGAAACTAGGAAGTAGATTTAACTAGGGCCACAGAAGAGAAGTTTCAAGGAAAGGATGCAGTCAACTGTTGCAAATGAAGCAAAAGAGCTGGACAGTGAATACGGTCACTAGATTGGCAATTAGTATTCATATTACCAGAAACAAGTTTCTGCAATATGATGAAAACAGAAGAGGATGGTGAGAGACTGGAAAGGCAGTAACTACAAATTCCTCTTTAAAGAGTAATGGTAGAAAATACTCTGGGGAGACAAGAAGAAGAAAAGAGGTGAGGGCGCCTGGGTGGCTCAGATGGTTAAGCGTCTGCCTTCGGCTCAGGTCATGATCCCAGGGTCCTGGGATCGAGTCCCACATCGGGCTCCCGGCTCAGTGGGGAGCCTGCTTCTCCCTCTGACCCTCTCCCCTCTCATGCTGTTTCTCTCTCGCTCGCTCTCTAAAAAATAAATAAAATCTTTAAAAAAAATAAAAAATAAAAATAAAGAAAAGAGGTGAAAGAGTTAAGTTTCGAAAAGTGAAGGAACAGCCCTTCCATCCAAACCAGAAAGAAGGTGGGAAATCTGAGGTGGGAAAGTGCATACAAAAAACGGCCTTAACCTCAGTAGTTAAAAAAGAGTAGTAAGGTCATCCACCAGAGGTGGTGGAAAGGGTGGATTAAGGATAGTGATGAAGGTTTGAAATAATTCACAAAACTCTACCAGTATATACTTTGTAAAGCATTTTTTTTTTAAAGATTTTATTTATTTTATTTATTTGGCAGAGAGCAGGAGAGCACAAGCAGTGGGAGCAGCAGAGGGAGAGGGAGAAACAGGCCCCCTGCTGAGCAGGGAACGTGATGCGGGGCTTGATCTCCAGGACCCTGAGATCATGACCTGAGCCGAAGGTAGATGCTTAATGACTGAGCCACCCAGGTACCCCAAGCAGTTTTAAGAATATGGGAAAGCTTTACATCTATAGATGCAAGGTTCATGCCATACTTTCCCAGAAATTAGACTGAACACAATACCAAATTTTC